GTTCAATTGCAATGTGTTGAATCTACTCGGTTTGTGTAAACTGCCTGAAGTTGACAAAAATGTAACTATTTTAAATGATGCAACAATAATAATAATACGATTTCAGTATTATATAATGTAATAATTTGTTGTAGTGCAGGAGTATCGTTTTTAAATAAAACTGCATTCTATATTATAATTATTACATTTGTCCAAAATTTTAATAATATTTAAAAACTCTTTTGAGTATTAAAAAATAACATGTGCATAAAATAAAAAAATGATTAAAATAAAAATGGTATCAAATACGATGGACACAGATATTGCGGATATTKAAAAATGTAAATAAAATGAACGTCGTGATTATTTTTTTTTCTTTTTAAAATAGTTACTATATTGACGAAAATAGAAAAATAACCCCGCGTTTGTGATATTATAAGGGAACCGAACAACCGGAAGACCGGATATGCATAAATTCAATTAATTATTAATCGTCTGCGGCAGGCTCACTTGGATCGTGTTGTTCGGCATCATCTCGATCTTGGACGCGGTCAAGTCCAATAAACGATCAGTAGAGACGGTGGCGACGACAAAGTACACGAGTACGAACTTCAGTGCCATGATGGCATGGCGCGGCGGCTCGGCTATTCGTATGTTGTTGCGGTGTTGTTCCGTCATTTCTTCGGCTCAATCGGACCGGTCGTACGCGTTGTCGGAGCACACACTATCCCGAAGTCCGGTCGGCAGCGGCCTCGACGGGCACACGTCCCGCACCCGTCGCCGTTATGAAACGCATAATAATATAATGCACATTACAATGTGATTATTAAATAATAACGTTTTGGGTATTGGCACTATAACAGTGTTACTATCACTATTATTGTTATTACGATTTCCTCACCGCCCCGCCGACCTGTACCACCTACCAATATCGCTGCAGCGGTGGCGTATCTGATCGCCGGTGCCCCGACTGCAGAAGTGAAAGCGATCGCGTGAGTTTTGATTTTTTTTTTTTTCGTTCATATTTTTTTCCTCTCCTCTGCTCGCGAGCATAATACTGTATAGGTATAGGCGCGTATAATATCATGATATATTGTCACCGCGACCGAACGCGTCGTGTATACTCATATAGGTACCTATATAATATTATATTGTGTGTATAGGTAGGAACGGCCAGCGGAGCGCCTTTCTCGGAGGATTATTATAATACACCTTAGTTACCAGCTATACATTATAATAATACACAAAGTTATTATTATTATTAATACCGTCATCATACGAGGCGTGCGTGCCACATGTTTGGTGCAGCCGTGTAGGTATAGGTATATATACTTGCGGGCTGCAGCCGTTTTCTTGTTATTATTATTATTATTTTTCAAAAAAAAA